ATTTTTTTGCAAAATTGCCAAATGCACAAAATTTAAAATTGTTTCAACTTTGAGGTAAACTTTCCGTAGAAGAACAACGATCTGATGTGCAAAGCAACTTATATATAAAAATGTACATGTAATATATAACATCATTGCGCCATTTCATAATTATACGCTAACCCACGAAGGTAAGTAAGAATATCTCTTTTGTGGTAGTCATTCACAATAGATTTATTCTTTTGTCCGCATCCCGATATTTCTTCAACTTTACTGGTGGTTGATGACCGGCAACAAGTTGTTCGTAGTATATTTCGCGGCCCTTCTGCACTTTACGGAGCCCATCAGTTAACTTCCATACTGACGGGTGTGACATTTCCAACTCGGTCTGAATTCGTCGATGAGCTGCTTCTGCATAGTTGTTCGTACGGTGTTCGCTGTTGATCACCCTACGGTAAAGCGACCACATTTCTGGTGGAAACAGTGGCGGACGTTTTGCATTTCCCCTACGATTCATGCAACCTTTAATTGTCTTTGAACCCCGCAAGAAGCGGCTGTAGATCTCTCGAAAGTTCTTCAGCTAGCCGGTCAGAGTCTCCATCCATTGCAGTAATGGGCACAAACACCAATGCTGTTATCATCCTCGCTTTCAGCGCGAAATCAGCATCGGCGTTGTACACACCGAGCAAATGCAATTCGCCAAATGCTTCTTCATATTATAGCTCAGATGGTAGAAGCATCTATGAAGCTGAACATTCGAGAATGCGTTCTTCATGGCATGCATTGGCGCAATTTCGAAGTCACAAGAAATCGAATTTGGGAGAAGATCCGGTACAAGAGCATTTAGCATCTGAAATAGCATATTGTACGTCGCTGTCTGCTTGTCAGGCAAAATCGCGTGTACAACAGGATGGACACCACCAAACCTTTCTGCCAGCACTGTATAGGCTTGACATAACAGTGGCGGTGCAGGTCGAAATATTCCATCTGCAAACCACGTTCACGACTCCCTGAATTGCAGATTCCCCGGCGTGCCAAAAATTAATAATCGATTGAATCCTGGTCCAGTGTCACCAATCAGAAACGATTCAAAGATACCTGGCTACAGTCCGTACCTTTTATATGATTCCGACAGAATCAGTGTCTCTAGATTGAGGGGAGCTGATGGAGCGGCGTTCACTTCGTATTTCGTCTTCGTTTTATAATCTTAAGTGCTCGAAGATTTTAAAGTAAACCCTGAGCCCCTTGCGACAGTCCAACCGCGCACTCGTTTATAACTTGCACCGACGCTTCCATGCTGTCTTCGGCACGTCTGTTGATCTTTGTCACAAGTTCTGCTGCTTCTACACCCGCCGCCGAAGTATCATGAGAATGTTCACCAATCTTCATGACAACAGTTGGACCTGCTGTGTGTATCCTTGCTTTGCATCGACCCTTCTGTTCACGGCGCCAAACCTTCCTTGTTCCGTCAGCGCTATTCCTGTCAAAGACATAGCAAAAGCCCGCTGACGAAGATTTCTCATTGTCTCGTTTTGTAAGCGGCATTGCGAATATTTTCGGTACATTCAATGGCTTCCCGCACACTCACTCTTTCCGGTACAATTCATGTGCTTTATATAATCAGCGATGGTAACGTGATAGCGAAACTGATCTGTCCAGATGGTGTCAGTTTCCAGTGGCTGCACTATTACTGCACCTTGAACTAACGACTTTTGACTAATGATGCAGTTATAAGAGGGAACTGATGAACTAGAGGCGCTGAATTAATGAGTTCTCGCACGTATGAAAATAAAGTCATAAAATAAAACACGAAATCTTAGAAATAAATCAGTTTGACAGAAGTTTCACATTGTGCTCAGGGAGAGCTTCGCATAGATAACTTGCTGGGTTAAACGTTACAGCTGATGGCCACAGACCAAATCATATAGAATCAAACGCGTTGCACGTCGATAGCGGTTATCGATCGGCGCCAAATCGGCCTGCGTCGAATCGTCATAGACCGCATTCTGGATGCTTACACAGAATTTATTTTTGCCGTATACTTTGTGCATTAACATTTCACTTTTCATGACCGTTTCTCCTTTCGGATCTCGGAAGCAGTGTTTACGTCAGACAGTGCTTCCACCATTTCCGATCCTGTGTTAGGTTCTGAGCTTCGGCATAAGACAGTGGACTTTGGGGCACACTCCTTTCACATGTTTACACCTGGTTAATCTTGCCCGTCCACTGGGCCATCTACCGGTCGACTGGGAAGGCAGTAGTTTCTTCGCCCGGTGACATTCGCAACACGTTCCCAGACCTTTGCAGCTCTGACTTCTCAGTCTGAAGAGACAGCGAACTCTACTCCAAGACTCTCGCAGATTTCTGTAACCTGTGCTACATCGATACGAGTAAAGCTAGCAATTCGTCTGAGAAAGCCCATTCCAGCTGCTTGTAGCTGTTATCGAAGTGTTTCATTCATGACCCACGTTCAAGACCGAGCGTGAGCATTTGGATGAAGATCGACTTGAACATCTAGAGCGTCTTTTCAAATTAATCGCTGCTTTAATCACAACGGCAATGGCTAGTTCACTCAGAATGCCACTGGCTGGTTCACTCAAAACGGCGTTGGCTGTTCCACTTCGTCGGTCAGTCTCTTCCTCCCATTGTACACCATCAGAAAACACAACCCGAGCTACTTGATCTCCTCCACCTGTTCCACTGCCTCTTCGTTTATCTGAAGAGCGCAACGGGCGGATGAATGAGAAGGCACTAGA